TATTTGCTATCTTCCTAAGTCTTGGAGATTGTGACAAGAACATCTTTTGCTGACCACCAGAAGTAAACTGCAGAGGTTTGTAAGCAATAAAGAAGTATGGAAGGAAGACTTTGTCAGAAATGGCTTCAAGATGTTAATTAGATTGTTAAAACATGAGGTTTTTTCCAAAACTCTTTTCATAAGCTGTCATGATTTATATGGAATTCATGAATACATACTTACCTGGTTATAATACTAACACAACTATACAACTAATATCTCTTAGGTTTTGTGTCCTACTATTAAGTCATTATGTAAACTAATTTTAGCTTTAAAAATTCTATGAGGAATGAACAATCGTTTTCCCCACTTTTATATGAAGAAATTCAGAGAATCTGTAATTCGTTCAAGGTCATAAACTCAATACCAAAAAGTAAAAAACAAAAACCATAGCAATACAGGAAGTTAAAAGTTAAAAAGGCAAAATCACAATGAACATTGCTAAAATCCGTAAAATTGTAATTAATTAACTTAAAAACCTATACTCCAATAAACTGGAAAAATCTAGAAGAAATGGGTAGATTTCTAGATAGAAATGAACTACCAAAATGAAGATTAAAAGATATAAAAACCTTGAATAACCCAATAACTGGAAACAAAATTGAAAAAAAAAAAAAGCATACCAACTAAGGTAAGCCTAGATCACAAAGGATTCACCAATGAATTCTACAGGAACTTTAAGGGAGACCTGAAACAAATCAATTCTTCTCAGACTGTTTAATTAAACCAAAAGGGAAGGAATACTACCAAACTCATTCCTAGAAGCAAGCATTGCCTTGATTTCAAAACCAGACAAAGACTCAACTGAAAAAATCAAAACTACAGGCCAATCTCTTTTTGCTCAAACATGCAGATTCTCAACAAGATACTGGTAAAAGAAGGCAACAAATAATTAATAAGATGATATTTCATAGCAGGAATGTAAAGATAGTTTGACATAATACCAACCAATGAATGTAGTGTGTCACATAAATAGACTCAAGGACAAAAATGACACGATTATCTTGATAGCCACTGAAAATTGCTTGACAAAATCCAAAATCAAGGTAAAAGCCATGAAGAAAATAGGTCGAGAAGGACTTTATCTCAACCTGGTAAAAGCCATTTATGAAAAATCTATTGCCAAAATCATATTAAATGTGGAGAATCTGAATGCTTCTCCTCTAAAATCAGGAATGACACAAGGATGCCCACTATTCTATTTAATATACTTGAATCAGGTAAAAGAATAAAATAAAAGCAATATTGTAAAAAAAAAAAAAAAAGGAAGAAGTCAGACTATCCTTATTTACAGATAACATGATCCCTTATATAAAAGACCCAAAAGAATCCTCAAAAAGTCACCAAGAACTAATAAATTCAGGAAGGCAGCAAGATACAAAGTCAACACACAAAATCAATAGTGTTTCTGTACATCAATAATGTACTCACTGAAGAAGAAATTAGGAAAATAATACCATTTACAGTAACTTCAAGAAAAATTTAAAACTTAGGAATGAACTTAAGAAAGGATATAAAAGTCCTCTATGGGAAAAGCATAGTACTATTCTGAAAAAGGAGACTGAAGAGGACATCAGAAAATGAAAATATATTTCTCACTGACTTTAATCACAGGTCATGGAAATACTAGGAGATATCCTTAAGGATCCTCTGCACTCCAACTATGTTCTTCCTTTTCTCCATTGTGGAGTAATAGTCTTATTTCCCATTGGTAACCTGGGTTAATCACACCTACCAACAATGTAACTCTATTTTTAACTTGTTTACTCCAAGGTATGAGAAGACCAAAATGACAAGGGGGAACCTCAGGCCCCAGTTCAATACCATTGTTTTGATTCCTGGTACAAGCCTTCCCCTCTTAAGTACTAAGTCTTCTAATCCAGGTCATGGGAACAGGAAGCAAAAATTTTACTAATGAATCAGTAGGAGTCATGATGAGTGATACCATTCTCATTTTCACCCCTTGATTTCTGGACCCATAAATCCTAGCTGTGGGAGACACTGTACCATAATAATGGATGTTTATTTAAAGTGCACATAGTGTTTTTGAAGAATCCTGCACCACCACTACAAGCTATGGCCAGCTAGCTAGCACTGTAACTGTGTTTTCAAAAGACCATTCCACCTTTCTATCAATCTTGCCATTTTTGGATAATGAAGACAATGTAAGGCCAGTGAACTTCATGAGCATGAGCCCTTTGTTTCACCTCTTTGGTCACAAAATACATTCCTTGGTCAGAGGCAATGTTGTGTGGAATTCCATTATGATGAGTAAGAAAGACATTCTGTGAGTGCACGGATAATAGTTTTGGCAGAAGCATTTATGCACTGGGAAGGCAAATCCGTATCTTGAATAAGTGTCTATGCCAGCAAGGACAATGTGCAGCTCCACGATGGCAGCAGTCCAATACAATCACCTGACACTGGGTTTCCGGCCAGTCAACCACAGAAGTGGTGCCATATTGAGGACTCAGTGCTGGTCCCTGTTGCTGGCATATTGGTTATTTGGCAGTGGCTGTAGCCAAATCAGCCTTAGTGAGTGAGAGTCCATTTTGGCGAGCCAATGCCTAGCCTCCATCCCTGACAATATGGCCAATCTATTGCTAAGACTATTGGACAAAGACAGGGGTGAAGAGATTGACCTCTGTCAACCAAGTGGGTCATCTTATTCACATGATTATTAAAGTCCTCTTCCATTGAGATCACATTTTGGTGAGCATTTACATTGGCTACAAATATTTTTACATCTTTTGCCCAAATGGAGAAGTCTATCCACATACTTCCACAACTATCTTTGTTACCAGTTTTCCAGTCATGTTCAAGTTCCTGGCCATCGGGCCAGACCACTGTCAACAGCTTATGAATCAGGATACAGTCACACATTCACATATCTAACTATTTCTCCTTCCAGGCAAAACGTACTATCAGGTGCACTGCCTGAAGTTTTTCCCATGTGACCGGCACAACCCCAATGAAACAGGAGACACTTCAGGTGGTAACAGGAACTGCCCACTTTATTGTTGCGGGTTCTGGCTTATATATCTGACTGTGGCCAATCAGGCTGCCACGAGGGCTGCCACGAGGAGGAAGGGCTGGAATGAGACGCGGGCTCTGGCTAATATACTCAGCTGTGGTGAATATGAAGTGAGTACGGGGCGACTAATTTGGAGAGGGACGTAGCGCATTGCGGAAGCTGGCGTGGTCCTTAGTCCCGGGTGGGGTATGGTATGTTGAGCACCTGCGCCCAACATCTCCCCCTTTCTTTATAACTGACGCAGGGTCTCCAGAGTTCGGCACCCCTCGTGAGGTGTCATGCTGCAGTCATGACAATGCCTCACTACTCATTGGTGCTCTTTTGGAGGGGGCGGGAGTATTGTTTTATGAGCCCAACCCGCATGCTTGCCGACATGGGGACCGGGGTGTCTCCTGGCCAAGGACGACACCCCCTGCGATGCTTTGCTCCACACCTGCGTCACAGCATGGAGAGCCATGCTACCGGGCCTTGACCAGATTCCACGGCCAGCAATGCTTGTTTGATGATTACTTTGTCCCTATTCCTTTGTCTGCGAATCTGACAGAGCAGAAGTAAACTGCCGAATGCAGCAAATGTAGCCATGGCAGCCAGAGCCCCTATTCCTGCCCATTCCTTTATGAAAGCCAATTGGAGAGTTGGCCCGAGCTGGATCACAGGAAACTCGTCTGGGTCCGTCATAACTGGAATTGGTACGAACTGGAGTACCTGAATAACGACAGCTGAAAGTGTACTGTTATCCCAACATTGTAATATATAACAGGTTGCGGTGGAGCAATTTAGAGAAGTCATATTTGTGGTGTCTTCAAACAACAGAAAAAGGTTTCCCTGATAGGGCCTGAGATCTCTAACACTTGCAGGGCATTGACGACATAATGTGAGTCTGAGAGTAGGTTAAAGGGTTGTGGGTATTGCTTAAAGACCTCTATAATGATCTTCAATTCTGTTAATTGAGGTTGATCAGGTGTAAATAGTTACCAATTCTGTTAACTGAGTTCGCCTGACTTTGGGTGTCTAACTTCCTCCTTTCTGGCGGCCACTGCGTCCGCCATTTTGTGTGCCTCTTCCTCCTCTTCACTATCTGACGAGTCCTCTATTTCTGGGTTGGGTGCGGTCGCCTCGCCTGCGACACTGGGCTCGCGAGATTGCTCGCGGGAGGATTCTGCCTGATGGTAACCAAGCGCCATGGCGCCAGCCCTTATATGGTCACGACAAGAGGCGTCTGCGAGGCAGCTCCTCACTACTGCCCAACGGGGTCTGACTCCTGGCTCCAGGAGGCCATTTTCTGCTGCAAAGTCAAGATCTCTCCCTAATTTATCCCAGCTGGGGATGGTAACAGACCCCGTGGGACCAAACCAAGGTGCTACCTTATTGACCTGATCGAGGAAGTTTTGTTTTTGTTTCATTTTTAATCCCTTTTCTCTCAGTAAGTCGTTTAAAGCGACTGACAGCGGCTGAGTAGCGGTGTTACCCATGTTAATCGGAATTTCAAGAGTTTCTTTTTGTTTTTATTTTTGTTTCCTTTTTCCTTTTTTTTTTTTGTAACAGGGACAGCTTAGTCCCCGCGCCCCTTTACGGCACCCCCAAAACCGGCCCCCGGAACTCTCTTTACGAATTCCTCAATCCCGCCTTTTTACGGCTCCCGGAACTCTCTTTACGAGCTCCTCAATCCCTTGTGACGCGTCCGCCCAAGGTTGCCCAATAGTCCCCGCCATCCGGCCTGGCAGCACTCGCTGCCTGTTGAACAGTTTAACCTGTCAGCCCCCGCCCGCCGCATAGCCCCCACTATCGGCGCTTGACGGTTTTACCTGTTGACGCTCTGTTCTATCGGAGAGAGAGGTTGGGTCCCCGTACTGTCGCAGAGAGGGTCTCAGCGCTCCCCGTATGGGCCACCAATTGACCGGCGCAGCCCCAATGACACAGGAGATGCTTCAGGTGGTAACAGGAACTGTCCACTTTATTGTTGCGGGTTCTGGCTTATATATCTGACTGTGGCCAATCAGGCTGCCACGAGGGCTGCCACGAGGAGGAAGTGCTGGAATGAGACGCGAGCTCTGGCTAATATACTCAGCTGTGGTGAATACGAAGTGAGTACGGGGTGACTAATTTGGAGAGGGACGTAGCGCATTGCGGAAGCTGGCGTGGTCCTTAGTCCCGGGTGGGGTATGGTATGTTGAGCACCTGCGCCCAACACCCATGTGATAATTTTCCTTCACCATTGTCCTTCAGGGATGTCCTGGAAAGGGGCTGTAATGCTGCAGTCATCCACTTTTGAGTGGTACTTGAATAAAGCAGAATTATCTGTCAGGTCCTAGCCTTCTCTTCCTCTGGCAGCTGATCATGTGGTATGTAGGCCTTAGGTAGATTCTGGGAAATAGAAGGCAATATACTAGAAGTAGGAGCTATGGGCATCTAGGCGACTTCATATAACTTACTTATATGCTCTGAACCTGCTCTGGCTCTATCACACATATACCATTTGCATTTAATGGTAGACTGTTGCTGTACACATCCAACCTTATGACTCAGTGGACCAGATAACACCCAGATCATGACAAGCAACTCAAGTCACAGGATAACCTAGTTTCATGGTCAATCATTTAGTTTCCACTAAGGCCAAGATCTCTTTTTCAAAGGGAGAGAAACTGTCCTCAGATGATGACAAAGCCTTGTTCCAAAATCTTAAAGGTATTCACTGCATTTTGCATATGGGGGCCCGACAGAGACTTCAAACAGCTTCTATACCAGCAAATGACACTTAAGGTACCATTGGATCTGCTTGATCATATGGCCCCAGTGGTAGAGCAGCCTACACAGCAGCCTGGACCAGTTGCAAAGCCTTTTCTTTTTCTAGACCCCACTCAAAACTAGCAGCTTTCTGAGTCACTCAGTAAATTGGTGAGAGTAAAATAACTAAGTGAAGAATGTGTTGCCTCCGTGCCTCTTATTTAGTTGTAGGGTGAGCTAGATGAAAAAACTCATCTTTTACCTCAGGAGGGATATCTCTACATAGCCCTTCCCAGTACCAAAATTGGTATCAGTCAGCGCTCACTAAAGAAAGATTTAATGCAAAATATACAAATACATAAAAATTTATAAGATTGTCTTACCATGGCCACACACAGAGTCAGATATAGAAGAGTACAAAAGTCAGTCTGTGCACCAGAGTCCTGAAAGATCCAGTCAAAAGCCTGTAGTTTGGTGTCCTGTACAAGTCTGTATCAGGAGTCTGGAGGGTCTGGGAAGACGAGACGTAATCCAAGATGAAAGCAAAGAACTGGGCTCCTCCAAAAAGACAGAAGAAACCCTTTATTCTTTGTTTCCCTTTTATATCATTCTGGCAACAATGGAGTGGTTTTCCACACCCAATACTATGCTGAGCCAACTTAGTTGGGCGATTCTTACACATTTTGACACAATCAATTAACTATCGTAACATTACTGGAGCTTTTGTCGTTTTCTTCTCCCCAGCATACAATAGGTCAGCCATCTTCATTAAATTAACTCACTGTATTCTACCATAATAATGCAGAATAGCTCCTCTTGCCTCCTGAAAATCAGTGTCTCAAGCTATACTCCTAGAACACCTATAAAAGACCTTGCATCATAAATGGTAGGTTCAGATAGATTTGTGAAATATATTTTTGTTCTCATTTTGTTTTGGAAGTTCAGTTATATTTGCAAATAACTGTCTTATCTTCCAGTTTCATGATGATTCTCAAGTGTAGCAAAGGTCCACAGAGAAATCTCCTAAACCATCTAAAATGACTTATATTTGCTTTTTTTACCATGAATTGAATGAGGAATATCACCTACAAAACAAAGCATTGCATATATGACTAAAACTTCAACATAATTACTTTCAAGTTTTCTTATTTCAAACCTACCTCCGCTTACCTTGGATTACTGCCAAAGAAACACACATTTTGATCATTTGTCTTATTGCTTTTATTTGCATTAATAGATAGATTGGTGTTGGCTATATAATTTTGAACAGTTTGACACAGAAAAATAACTGTTATAACTTAGGTTTGGGGAAATAGGCACTAAAAATATGAGCATCAATTAAGGTTCAGTGAAAAAATGGAAGCCAAACTATATAACTAAAGGAAATTAATATTAGTGAAACATTACACTGGTGGTGAGAGGCAGTCTCTAGAACAGTAAGAGAACATGTGAACTTGTCTGCTAGGGAAGAAATTGGTATCACTTTAAGCTGGGGAAACAATGAGGGAAAGTTTCATTGTTAGAACTGAGAAGTTCAGGAGAAATATCCTACCCAGCGTGAGAATGCACCTGTGAGAAATGAGAACAGTTTGGCAGGAGCTGATACATTGGAGAAATTAGGATGAGTCTGGATTTTAGAAGGTGTAATAAGTGGGAGACTGGATAGCTGGAAGCAACTGCTAAAGACACGACAATGGAGTGTTACTGTTGAAGTAGTGCTGGGTATCAGCAGGGATTTTTTTTTTTTTTGGTAGTGCTAATAGAAGCAAGAAGCAAATGAAAAGGAACAAGTTCCTTCTCTCATACTATCTTTCACACTCTACAGTTGAAATTGGTTATTGATATAACCAATCAGGGAAGCCAACTGGTAAAGGATGCGTATCATTTGTAGAGTCCTAGCCCTACTATTACAAAGATAGGGTGTAGATGTATGAATGCAGAATGGAGAAGTTGTAGTTTAAAATGCAATACTAATGAAAATTAAATCAAAGCAATGGTCAGGGTAACCATTTTTCACCTTAAAAATATTCAATGTAATCAATAATGTGCTTAAGATTTTTAAAAATTGGCACCAGGAAGTAAGCCCAGTTTAGGAACCAGTGACATGTGCATGCAGCCACCGGACTGGAACATAAAGACACCAACCTCTCCTCATGAGTCGTCACCATTTGAGGACCTGAGGTAGAGAAAAGAAGGCCTTACAAGGAAGCAAGCCCAGTCTGGGAACCAGTGCCACGCACAGCCACTACCAGACTGAAATAGACAGATTCCAGCACCTCCCGGCTGGCAAACGAGAAATACCAACCACCACTACCCCTGCCATAAATGACTGGCTTATTGAGAGAATTGCAGACTGGGATGATAGCTTTGGAGGTGAAATGCAATTGGATCCTGTGGTGCTCTGGCATTTCACTAACATTGTAGATCTAGTTCCAGTGGTCTGATCATAGGTTCAGAAGATAGCATTTTAAGCATTGTGGCATCTAGGAGGGGATCTCCTTTTGAGGATTGCAGCCATTGTTGATTCCCTATGAGCTTGTTTGGGAAGTCCTATATGATTTCCATTGTTTTGTTGGGTTGGGTTTTATTTTCTTTTGATTATGTCAAATCCGCTGGAAGGATCAACTATTTCAAAGATAGCAAGAAGTAGTATGGTAACAATGTTGGATTTACTACTGGCTTGTTTTGAAGCCTTTTACTGCTTTCATTATTTTGTTTTTATGTTTCTCTCCTATTCTGTTGTTTTTTACTATGTCAAAAGTTATCTACAGCTATTTTGAAGACATTGAGAGGCATTATGATAACAATTGTTGATTTCATAATGTTTTGAAGTTCTGTATCACTTACACAGGTTTGTTTTGATTGGTTTTATTGTTTTATCCTCTTTAAAATAAAAGTGAAAAAGTTTTAAAAAATTAATATACTTCTTTGAGTTTGTCATCAGACATACACTGGAGTATACTATTACCATTATTTGATCATCAAGCCTAGGATCTAGATAGCATTATTTTAGGTATTTAGACTGGATTTAGGTAGTGAAGGAACAGTTAACTTCTTGCCTTTAGAACTTTCATCCTATGCAGGGGAAAGAGTAAATATATAACTTGTTAGGTGATAAGCGCAATTATGGTGAAAATAAACCAAGTTAGGGAAACTAGATTTTGGATGGGGCAAGCCCTTTACTATGGATAGTACTAAATGATTCAGTGATAAAGTGAATTTTGATCAAAGATCTAAAGCAAACATGAGGGAGAAAGTGTCATGATAGTATGAGTAAAATCTTTTCAGTAGGGAAGACTTGCTTTGTTAAATGTAAAGTTGGTGACTATCTTGCAAGTGTTTTTTTTTTCTCTGTACTTTATTTGTATAATTCTGTGATTCTAGGTAACACCAGTTTATTATCAAATATGGTAGCAATTTAAACATTCTACACAATATTGATCATATTGTCTACTGAAGGGTTATTTTGCTTTACACATTACACAAAATTTACTGATGGTAAAGGGAGCTAGCCTAAGTGCGTAATATTCTACCTGTACTGTTAAATATCATCTATATTTCAGCAAGTAATGAAATTCTAGTAATAGTCTCAAATTTTTAATTTGGATTATTGGGCTAACTGCAAAATGTCCAGCATTGTACATAATTACTTCTTTATTGAAAATGACAATCATTTTTTAGCTCAGAGTTAATGAACCTTGATAAGTGGCAAACAGTCTTTGAGGCAGAAAGCTGGATGGACACCACCAGTATTCACTCTCTACTCAAAACAATGAAACCACTGTTAGCATTGGGATCCTGTTGATTTTTGTTCAGATTGTTTTTTTAAAAATGCTTACTTTAGTACTCAAAGATGTCAAAAATACTCATAAGTTAGCTACAATTATTCCCTCCACCTTTTGTTACTCAAATTGTTACTCAAATAATGTGAGCTTACTTAAAGAAAATTAAGAATGGTATAAAAACCTAGCAATATTTTTACACTAATTTTTTTTTAAAAAGTACAGCAGCTTTAATCCTTGGAAAAGTGAGTTTTCCTAGTAATATAAAGGAATATTTTTAATCAGTAATAATTTTCAACATAAAAGATCGATGCATGTTTGTCTAAATTGTATTCATCTGAGAATAATTTGAGGGTGGACACATTTAGAAAGCAAAAATTTGAGTTTCCTTAGTAAATTTGTTCTTCACTCAGAAAACAGAGGAATCATGAGGGATCACTCAGTGGTGCTCCCTGCAAGGCAATAACCTGTTCCCCGCAGAACACCACTGCACATGGCTGGCAGCATTTGCAGACAATTTTACCTCTGTGCCTAGGTTCCTCTAGCTGTCAAGCAAAGATAATAGTAATGCTATCTTTTTGGGGAAGGAAGCACATGCTTTGACAATACAGGTTGAAGGTAGTACATCAACAAAAATTACTAGAACACAATGAACATATACACATAAAACATCAGCACGGTGCTCTTTAAGTACTTAAATGATCATTCATAAGTACTGCTCTTCCATGCTCTCTTTCATTTAGGTGAGGAATGTAATCACAGCAAGCCACTATTCAATTTTTCTAAATGCAGAGGAAATACACTTTTCTAAAAAGTTCCAGATCATTCTTTTGAGAAGTGCTAAGCCTATTAATTTCTTATGGTCTCTGTGGCAATCTCACAATAGCCTCCAAAGTAAGCCTTTGGTGCCTTTTTAAATGTTGGCTAAATTACTTCTCATGTTGAGTGGAGCCATCAGGGAAAGACCTGGGGAATAAAATTGGTGAGCGATATTAAAATTTTGGTTGTTTAACATTTAACTGAGTCTCAACAACGTGTTAAAGTGCTATCTAAACAGATAATTAGCTAGTCGTTGTGCAGTGGGCTGTCTAAATTTAGCAGTGAAATTAGGTTTAGGGAATGTGAAAATAGGAAAAGAAATTTTCTCAAGGGAAACAGTGGTGTCAGCACAGCCGAGGAATGTCACAATAGCTGTATTTCGTCAATTACGATCATCATCAGGGGATCTCCAGCGCGATGCAGGACAAGATTTATTCGTAAGTGCACTGTGAGGATGGGTAATAGAAAGTGGTTGCTTCAGGAGACAGATTTAAAGATGACAGAGGCAGCACGCAAAGGAATGGAGAAATCTGGAAATGAAGGAAGAGAGGGACTAAATCCAGTGGTGATAGGCAAGGCAGGAGGTGGAAGTTAAAAAAAAAAGGCAGGGCAGAGGTAAAATGATGTGTAGTCTTGGAGATGAAGAACCCATTGTGAGCCAGTGGGCTGAGGCTGGGGACTGGCCACTGAACGGAGAGGACAGCTGTGGTTTGGGGTGCGGAAAGCGTTGGTTTAGTAAGGACAGGCTCCTTTCTGGCTGACTGTCCACGTCTTACTGAGTACATTCCTGGCAACGTGGTGGAGAAGGCAGGACCTACATAAAACTAATGGTTGTCAGACCTTAGGACTGGAGTCCTCCGTCTCCACCCCTCCTCCACCTTCGCTGATTGTCCGAACTGTCTGTCCTTCTCCCCCAGAACCGTGGGTTGGGGCTTCAAGGTCAAGCCACCTGGGTTGTGCTGGGCAGACAGAGGTACACGAGGGACCACAGACACTCAGCTCACGGGCAAATGTCTGATACTTCCGGAGGTCACTTTTCTGCGATTAGTTTAAAGGAAAACAAAATAAAACGACACGTGCGAACATGCAAGCGACCAAAGAAAGACACCATCGCACAAGTAAGCCTTTGGCTGGGGGGATGCCACGGCCTCCTGTTGCAGCCCCGCGGCCAGGAAAGCGGACACCGGCAGCCCAGAGAAGTAAGGCGGGAGAGCAAATCTCCTGGGGTCTAGCTCCTTGGCCAGCTCCGCAGGCCCTTCCAGGCCGCCCTCCCGGAGAAAGGAGCAGGAAAATCGCCCAAGCCCGCGAGCCTGGGCGAGCGAAGGGGCGGGAAGTGGGGCTGAAAGACGGGAGGGATGCGGACTGCGCGGCCGAGCCGGGCGCCCAGAGGAGGGCAAAGTCTCCCCTTTCAGTCCCCGCCGCCGAGGACCAGCAAGGGACTGGTCGGTCGGGAAAGCTGCGTCCAGATTCCCAGACAGGAGCCTTTAGCTGGAGCCACGCAAGGGTAGCTTCATCCTTGCTTCCCCTTACCACGCCTCCTCTTCCCGGGCTCCGCCGGAGGGAGAGCGCCGCCCGGGAGTCAGATCGTCCCGCTGCCCTCAGCTCCAGCGCCCGGGCCGTGAGGACCCGCTAGGGGCGGAGTGGGCGAGACCATTGGAAACGCTGGGGAGGGGGGAAACGAGGCAGGAACGAGGGGCAGGGCTGGGTAACTAGTCCAGATTTTCCTGTCCCTTTGCAAGCTCTGCTCTGGGAGAAACCCGGTTATCAAAGTGGATAAAGAAGTCTTTTTTTCTTTTTTTATGGAAGAGGGAGGAGCGTATATAGGAGGGCGTGGTGAGAGGAACCGCGGCTTGCACCCGTGGAGCAGACGCGAGCGGGAGTTGCAGGGCGGGCGAGTCCCAGCACAGCTCCGAGGGTCGGCTCCTCTCCCCCTCCCGCGAGGGCGGGGTGGTGCGTTCCGAGTTCCCAGGAGTTCGCGGCGGGCGGGTGCCGGGGGGAGGGGAGGGGAGTGGCGGCGGCTGTGGCGGGCGGCTCTCGCTTCGGCCCGGGCAGTGGCGTAGACGACGGCGGAGTCGCAGCATCCGCGAGCGCTCGCCACAGTGTCAGCCGCCAGCGACGGCGCCAGAGCTGGGAGTTAGGGACACGCTCGCCGGACCTTCCGCCGTGGTCATCGCCGCCGCCGCCGCCGCCCAGAGCCTGAAGCGCCCGGGCCCGGGAGCGCGGGGGGCGGGCGTGCGGGCCGGCGGGCTGGGGGGCGGGAGGGGGATGGCGCCGGCCGCGTCGAGTCCCGGAGGCGGCAAAGCGCAACTTTCCTCCGCCGCTCCCTTCGCGGCAGGGCTCCTGCTGCCGCCCCCGACGCCGCCGCCGCCGCTGCTGCTGCTGCTCTTCCCTCTGCTGCTGCTCTCCCGGCTCTGTGGTAAGCGAACAGCGGCGGCGGGCGCGGGCCGAGGGCGGGGTTGGGGTCCGGGCCGGGCCAGGTCTGGTCGGGCCAGGCCGGGTCGGCGGTGCTGCCAAGGGGCGGTTGGCGGAGCTGGCGGGTGCCGCGGACTTTGGCTGGAAACTTTTGGCCGCGCCCGGGGCGAGGCCGGGGAAGGGCCCGGACGAGGGCCGGTCGCTACGCCAATTGCCGGGGTCGCCGCCGGTGCTTTGGTGTGCGGAGCTTCACGTGTGCTCCGGGACCGTTACCTCCCAGCACCCTCGCGGAGGAAGCGGGCAACGTTGACTTCTGGGCTGGGTTAAGGTGCCGGGATGCACGCCTGCTGCTGCGTCCCCCCCTTTTTTTTCCTTCCCGGTGAAACTTGAGCTGTGATCCCGGAAACCAACCCTAAGACCAGAGCCCGACAGAAAGCAGCTTTCGGGTCCACCCTAGTGGCCTTCCACCCAGTGAAGGCACCATCTTAACCCACCCTGCTGCTGCATCCCCTTCAGCCAGTTTTCTCCGGTTCTCCGGACCCTTTCTGCCCTGGTAGCCTCTCGTCTTTTTGGATTGAGCCCCGTTGCTGCCTTCTAGTTGTAGGACGTCTCTCTGGGGGTCCCTGGGTGTTGTAGCAAATTATATTTGTTCCAGAGTCAGTACCTGAGTGCATCGATTGTTTCTTGGTTTTTATCAGATAAGTCCCCGCCTCTTCTCTTCACAGTGTCTTTCTGACTGACCTCTTGTTTTGGTAGTTTTCCTGTCACATTTGGGAGAACCTCTCTGTACACTCTGTACACAGATATCTGAGACTGGAGGCCTGCTTTTTAAAGATCAGTGTTTAAAAAAAAAAAACCCTGCTTTTGTTGCGAGTAAAATAGTAGTGCGTGGTAATAAATATATTGCAGTGACTTGAGAAAATGAGAAGTCTATTCTTTGGAGATTAGCTCTGAATGTCTTTGGGTAATTTCAAAATGTTATTATTCACTCAAGGGGTCTTACTAGGGAATGGTGGGGGGTAAAACTTACACTTCTTCAAAGACCTGTTTTCAGTATACCATGGAATCTTATGCTGAAGTTTTATCAATATTTATTGCAATTACAAATTATTATTATAATTTTTGAAGAAAGAATAATATGGGTAGAGGAATCATGGTACTTGATTATGAAGGAGGCAGAGATCTAGTACACCCTGTGAGAATTCTCTACCAATTTACCATCATATGTCCAGGACTGTACAAAGCATCAGATGTGATGCTGTATCAAATAAAAGTTTCTGATTTACACGGAGGTAGTACGATAAATGGTATGTCATCTAATACAAAGTGTTTCTGTATAGCCACTCCTCAGATGGTCTTAATGCCATTACTCCTTTAAACTGAGTGTGTGTGCTTTTCTTTTTTTTTTTAAATCTCTTCTCATTTATTTATTTATTTGATACCAGGGATCAAACTCATGACCTTGCGCTTGCCAGGCAGGCGCTTATGCCTCTGAGCTAAATCCCCGGCTTTGTGTCCTTTTCTTATTTTCTATTAAGAAGGACTATATGTGGTGCTTATAGGTGAGATGAAAGATAGTAGAAAGGAGGAGAACAATGTACTATCCTAACTAAGTTTATGTTAAGGACAGAAAGACTTATTTTGCTCCATTGCAGTACATCTGTGCAGTTAGGCAAAGCCCTGTGGAAGACACAGTAATATGAACAGATGATACAGGAGGTAGACTTTGTATAATAATTTCACAGTAGTGCAAATGATGTTGATTTCTTTTTGAAGGAACACATTAGTTTTTCATATGAATAATGTGCTCTTAGAGGAGCATGATAGTTTATTTTAGAACATCAAAATTAAAGCAGTGTGTGCATATAGAATGAGAGTGAGAGAATGAGAAATGCAAGTTTTTAAGAGTCACTCTGCTTGTACTTATAAACATAGATACTAGATTGGTGTTCTGTGCACTGTTCACTTAAAGAGCTTCCTTTTTTGGCATATAGTGTTATAACACCCTAATTTAGGAATTCATACGTGATAAGTTTTTTTTTTTTTCCATTTACCTCTATTTTAGAATTCAGTCTTTGGGACCAGGTATATAGTTCAGCAGCACAGCGCCTGCCTGTGAGGTGTGAGGTCCTGAGTTCGATTCCTGGTACCCAAAAAACCCACAAACAAACAAAATTGCAGAATTAAGAGTTCAGTCTTTGCATAGGACCCAGTTGTGACTTAGAGACGTTAGTAAGTAAGGAAATAATTTTCTCCATATATCCTATTGGTTGATTTATCAACGTGTTGATCTAACTACTAATGTTAGTACTAACAGTCATGGTGCTATTTACAAGATATGTCACATACTTACATTTGAGTAGACTAGTTTTAGCATTCAAAAGATGTTTACTTTTGAGAAGATTATCTGATGCTTTGTTAATCACAATGCTTTGCTTTCTTACACTTAAGATTTTTGACATATTTCTTAATTTACTGTTGCCTTTACTGTAGTGAACTTTTTCCTGCTAATTTGTTAAAATTGTCCCTCACAACTGATAAGACTTCATATTCTGACATCCATATAAATTTTGTTAGGTTTGCTCTTTGTTTGGGTAGGTGTATATAATCCCATTTAAAAATCCATTTCTTTAAAATGAAAATTTTACAAGTTGATAAATGGCCACCTATTTTTTAAAGCCTAAAGATTCCTAGCTACAAAGAATGACAGTACTAGGTTTATAACAAAAACTGAATTGACTAGACTCATTTAATTCTGAAATTCCACATTTTATGATATTAATCAATTCATTATCAGTTTTATTTCATTTTTCCTTGTCAAATTTTTCTTGAGGTAGAGAATATTCACATAGATGTGGTATTGATGAATGAAAAAATAGACTGACCTTTGTAAGGACCCATTTGACTCTGGGATTCTACGACTCTTCACAGTTTTAGCAAGCTTTTTAAGATAGTTGTTTAGAAGATGACAGGAAAAAAAAGATCTAATAGGGGACTTTTAAAATTAGTTTGAGTATTTTTTATTTAAGTGAGTTACTTGGAGGCAAAACACGGGATGACAGTCCTGGCTTTAAGATTCTTAACAGTGTTTTGGTAGGCATAAAGGAAAGAGGTGATTATAAATTAGTTTATTTATGATAAAAGTGTACATGAGACACTATGGGTTTTACCTAACTTACTAGATTTAAAGGCAGATATGTAGGGCAAGGAGTGTGCATGTGTGTGTTGTGTTGGACCATGTGTATAATAGACAAGTGATACACAAAGCTGCATCCCCAAGCCCTAAAAATCATTTTTTAAAAGACATTTGAGTCAGAGTATTGAGATTAGATTGTAATTTTCTTTTATTTTCTGGTTTATGTATGCTTTGGTTACTAAAAGGCAGTTTGTGCAAAAAGATTGCCAATTATAGATGTGAACCATTGGCAGGTTATTTATATTATCTCTTAATAGTAATGTTTTTGTGGATTAAGTGAAAGAATTACGTAAATGGTTAATGTGTATGGAATGCAGTAATACTGACTTGTTAGTATTTATTATGTTTTACAGCATATATCATTTAACCTGGTATTGGTGATATTTAAATTTTTTTCTGGTGTCTGGAATACTTGTGTTTTTAAGTTTAATGACTTGACTTATTTATACTGAGTATGTGGTCTTTAAATGTTTGTTGTTTACCTGAGATAAATGCACAGAAAATGAGTTTTCAGACTGTAAGAATATAGCAATATTGTTTACTCATATATTTGTATGGAAAGTAGTTGAGTCTTCTCTCAGTGATGTTGAATGCATCTTAAAACTTGGCAGTTCCACAAGTTCACTTTATAGAGTGTTAGTGGTAATACTGAAAAGATGGAACTGGAAAGAGCTTCTGCTTTGACCCTTTGTCAATTACATCAGGTTGGGGCAAAGAGTACATGTTGCGTAGATGATGAGTTTTTCCCTATCCTAAACATATATTACTGGGAAGTAAAGCAAATTTAGAAGCAAACATAAAAGCTGAACTCTTTCTTGCAGTTAGTTGCAAAAGTAGGAATTGGAAATTCCTACTTCCTACAAAAGTAGGAATTGGAAAAGTCGGCCAGTTACGTTTGTATGTAAATTTCCTAATTTACCTTGCTTACGCCAAACAAGTTGAATATTCCTTATCTGAAATACTTGAGACCAGAAGTATTTTGGGTTTTTCTATATTTGCATATACATAATAAGAGATTTGGGAATATCACCCAAGTGTAAACACGAAATACATTTGTTTCATATCCTTACACACATAGCCTGAAGATAATTTGATATAATTTTTAAATAGTTTTGTAGATGAAGCAAGGTTTCATAGTATACAGTTTATGGAATTTTCTATCTATGGGTATTATTTTGTTACTCAGAATGATTTTGATTTTAGAGTATTTTGGATTTCAGATTTTCGGATTAGGGATGTTCAACTGTTCTTTCATATTTATAATTTAGTAGCTGAATGACTGTAGTGTAAATTTTGTATCTATGTAGTTCTGGAATAAAACTTACCAGCTATTTAAAGCTTGTTGAACAGAGCTGGATGTGGTATATCCTTGTCAAAAAACAGTATTTTGGTATTATGCATTTTATCTATTAAAATTGGTAAATAATATATTTTACTATATTCTTACTAAAGTGTCCACAGAACTTTACACTGCACCCTATATGATTTATCTAAAGTGAGATGTAGAGTTAACAGAATTAATATAAATATATAAGTATAGGATAAAACAAATAACCTTTAAGTCAATAATGACATTTTAAAAATGATTTTGTGTGCTAATCAGATCCAAAAATCTAAGCACCATTAGTCTGCCATACTTTTGATTGCCGTAGACAGTTTTGTTTAAAATTATATTTAAATTTCTGAATATGAATCCTTTACTTAATTTCATTAATGATTTTTATTTTTGTACTACCATTGGTATGGTTTAGCCATCTATTAAAGTTTGCCGCGGTCCTTTTTCAAGAGTGGGTTTCAAGATTTTTTCT